GCCTGATGCAGCAGCATCAGCATCCCGTGCAACTCAGCTGCAACCTCTCACCTCTCCTCCTCCTCCTCCTCCTCCTCCTGCTCACTATTTCTCTCTTGTCCATGTCTCTCTTCGTCCAGCCCTGACGCCGAAGAGCATGCCCTATAGTGTAGCGGTTCCCAAGCTGGGATCCGGGGACCTCTACGGGGCCATGATTAAACTCAGTAAGCCCAAAAGAAAACGAGTTTGGGGTTAGTATTATGAATTTCTACTGAAGCTTACAGGAAAATTGTCCAGAGACTAAATCTTTTGGGACTGTGGTTTCCATATAGCCTACTGTCTGTTTTAGATTTCTTTTTTTTTGACCATTTCCATGATGGTTTTTACGCCCTTGGGGTGACATCATGGCATACAATGTTAAAACATGGTGGTTTATGTTACATTTATAGTGTCTCCATGGTGTTACGTGACTACTACAATCTCTCTATAATATTCTTAATAATGGGGTGGACAAACCTGTAAAATACTATGCAATCCTGCGCAATAGCCATGCAATAAATAACCTAAGCCTGCTACCTCCGTGAGGCTTATAATGTTATAAAATATTGCTTCAACTCCTGCACCTTGGAAGTCAGAGTTTCTATTGCTGTTGAAAACCACACGGGTAAGTTAGATGCTTTTGGAATAAATAGCACACACCTTTACATTGTAAAGCAATACAATATGACACTATACTAAATAGTGGCAACAGTTTTCTATCATTTTGTCCAAGAGGTGGATGCGATGAGAATACAATGTAATCACAATAGTGGGTGTAATATAATGCTGCACAAAACAACAACACACTCTACAGAAACCAGCAGTTGTCAAGTTGACAAGACTTTAATTACTTACTTCTGGGCAGTTGCATTGCAACACATTTTGCTGTATAATTTTTTTTATAGTAGTATTATCCATATTTTTATCCAGTATTATATTTATTAATTTTATTTGTTTTTAATCTCTCTTCTCTGATTTCTATATTTTATCCTTTCCTATAAACAGTTTATGTTCCTATCTCTTGCAGCCGTCTTTTTATGTGGGTTGTTATTCATCTTTTGTGGAGCACATTGTGTTGCATTTTTTTGTATGAAATACGCTTTATAAAGTTAAATATGATTATAGTTAATCATGTTGTTGTGTTCATCCTTGTATAGATGTTTTTGTGGTTTAATGTGTGTATATTAATATACATAATAAGCCATGAGAAGTATCACATGCAGAAATAGTCATTAATGCTGAAATCATTATAGACTGAAATGGGACTCAGCTTACGTGTCCTGAATGGTGTTCCCTGCAGAGTCTTAACAGAGGTTTCTACATGGCCTGTGGTGTGTGTGTGTGTGTGTGTGTGTGTGTGTGTGTGTGTTCCTGCTCCTAATCCAGTCTCCTGGGACCTCTGTATCCGGTTGATGGTCTTCCTTAGCAGACATGCTGGATGGGATTGGTGGTAAGGCCCTTTATAATCCTCTCCTCATCTGGTGGCCTGTAAAGGAGCTGCCCCTTGAAACCCAAAGCGTGTGTGTATTTGTGTGTGTGTGTGTGTGTGTGTGTGTGTGTGTGTGTGTGTGTGTGTGTGTGTGTGTGTGCCCCGAATGCTCAGTAATGATCCACACAAGCTCCACACAAGAGCTAAATTGGCTTTTGTCTTTGCTATAACTTATCTTTAATTCTCCTACTGCTCCTCTCTCTTCTCTCTCTTTGCTCTCTTTATTTTGGTGCGAGACGTCAGAGACAGAACTGCAGACAGACAACAAACATGTAAATTTGATGTTTGAAAGCCCACAAGGCTGATGCTGTAAGGCACTGGAGCCTTCAAGGCCATAAAAAACCAATAGCATATTTCCTCAAATAAGCAGCCATAGAGTCTTTCTCTCTCACACACACATACACACACATACATACACACACAGAGACACACATGCACATACACACACTCACACAGTGTTAATGGCTTCATAATTGTCAGAGGCAGACCATTGAGCATAATCAGGAGACTGCAGCAAGGCGAAGACCAATATTTGTAATTTACTATGACAGATAGTACATTTTTATTACCCAGGGGCTGCTGGTTTGTTTTGGGATGCGATAAACCACCCTCATCCACATACTTTTTATCTCTCTCAGTTCACATACTCATTTATACTCACCCGTTTTCTCAGCATTTCTTTCTTCCTTTCTTTTCTTTCTTACACACACACACACAGAGCAGTTCAGCCCCAGACAGTGTGTGACCTCAGGGTCAGGAGCATTACGCCAAACAGACAGACACTGAGTCAGGGAGCAAAGTGCAGCTCATCACAGGAAATCACAGGTACCCACACTAAAGCAAACCTACTCATACACGCAATCACTCACATATTACCCTTTAATACATAAATTAAATGTCTGGTATGGGCATGAGATCATGGAGTGTTTTTTTTTTTTGCAATCCTAAAGAATGAGTTTTTCACAAATGTAATGCTCACAGGAGTAGTCCAACATTTTAGCATTGTAGGAGACAGTTTTTAAAAAAGATGTAGCAAAACTAGAGATATTGTCTTCTTTTATCCAACCCAAGTGTCTTCCTTGTCAAAACCTATTGCCTAGATTACCCACAATGCAATTTAATTGACGACAGCTGGCACAGAGATTCAGGTGTGTTATGCCAGTAGTGGCTAATGTAGCCTCAAGCTGCTAGCCTCAAGCAGAGATGAGGAGTGGGCTACAGAGGTCTGATGAGCTCAGTTTTTTTCTAAGGTTGTATTCACACCACATCAGGCATTGTGGTGGTTACAGCAGCATTGTGTGATGGAGTGGTTGCTGACTCGAGTGACATCACTTTTTTATCAGCCTCTGCACAACTCCCTCCTGGGCCACAAAAGCATTATACAACGTTTTTCACACATGCTGTAGTACTCCCCAGCACCTGTAAACAGACTTAGATTTTTTGAATTGGTGTTATTCTCCTTTGTTGTTCCACACACATTTCTTTCTGAAAAGACAAGTATGTACCATATGCTGGCACACGTTTATGCCATGCACATTACACTGTGTCATGTCCCGTTCATTTCGGTTTGGCAGCACTTAAAGTAAGTGTGGAGGCGACAAAAGCAAATCACTTCTGTCTTTGGCTTTGAAGGTTTAAGGTATCAAATAACTACGACAAAAACATTAAATCACCATAACTGGGAGCAGCATTTATAATTAAAAGCTCATTTTAGGCAAACATTAAATGAATCACCAATACTGAGTTTCTCATTCATCTCTGATAGAGTAAACCCAGCCTGTTAACTTTAGTGACATGACATTTTATGAAATAACTTGTTTTCCCAGTGTGTAGCTTTGAGAGAGAATTACTCATGTCCAAAACATGATTTATCAGTCACAAGCCATTAGAATAACACATGTAAATTATTAAATTGAGTGGTTTTGCACTCTGATGCAGAACTTTAAAATGTCAGAGATTCATACTCTAATTGGAGTGGAGGGATGCTTGTGCTGCTCAGTAGTCAGTTTGTAGGATTGGGAGCGGGTAAGCTGGCAATCAGGATGGAGAAATTGTGTGTGTGTCAGTGTTAACAAGAGAGACAAATAGGACACACAAATAGGAACAGAGAGAGAGAGAGGGAGGGAGGGAGAGAAGCAGGTGCATCACTAATGGCTTTTTAAAAAGGTTACAGCGTAGAGCTCTTCTTTTCTAATGGGGCTCCGGCTGTGCTTGAGAAGCAATTTCCGGAAAAGATAATGTTGTCAAGAGAGTGCAGAGAGTTCTGTGTGTGTGTGTGTGCCTTGTCGTTAACAAGACTGACAAACTCAAAGAGTGGGGCGGGGAGAGATTGGGGCAATTGAGAGAGAAAGAAAGAGAGAGAGACAGAGAGAGGGAGAGAGAAAGAGAGAAATCCTGTGTTTACATTTCAAAGTTATTGTGCCATTTCATTACATTTATTAGCTTGATGACTAATGACTAATGTGGGCTAGCGGAGGGCTCAAATGAACAACATTTTAAAGTGCTCTATTCTGTTTTACCATATTTTTACATACCTAATAATGTGCCATTTCATTTAATACTGGTGCATTTTGAATGCTTCTTTCTTAGTTTCCCCCTGTCTTCAGGTTAGCATGGTAAACGCTGCCACCCTGTGTCCACAGCACCCCCCTACAGCTTTTTGAGCTGAGCTGGCCCAACATCTCTGCAGGTTTTCATTCATTCAAGGTAGTCCACAACCTCCTGCCATGTTGAAAGTTGTACAAGTACATTTTTACAGAGCTTTCCACGACTGGATTAACTGCAAATGTGTCCCCTTGACAATCAACTGAGTCAGAGCAAATTAAACACAATTATACATACTACATTATACATTATTTATCTCTAAGGAAAAGTTGGGTAATGGCCACTAAGGGGCAGTACTTTCCCATTAGTGTGTCCCAGTTCCTGATTCTAGTGCGTTTACGTTGGAAAAGTGACAAAATAATTTATACTTAAAATGTCATTCAACCAAATCTGCTTGATTTTTGAGTGATTTATACAATTTGTATTTACTGTATAGTAGTGTGAAACAGCTCCAATGTTTTAGTTCTTCAAAGTCAGACATCCTCAGCCCAAAGTATGTGGGTCTCCCAGCACACACAGGTCTTTTCCACAGGAGACATTCTGACATGCCGCAGTAGGAAGAGCACAGTAGTAAATAATAAAATGAATGATGGCTGAATTCAGGGTTTCAGGGTCCTGGTATTGTGCATGCAGGCTCACTGTCACACTGTCATGGCTTACTGGGACACTTAAATGTTATTAGTAACACCTGTGCTTTTCCTAATATGTCTGCTATGAAAACTATCTGTTGCTCTTAGTCTGACTGATTGTCAAGCTTAAGTTAATTCACATACACTCCCCCAAAATGTACAGTGTTCATGGATACTGTGTGTGTACTGTGCATGATCCTTACCGAAGTGTGCAAGGAATTACAACAAATCAAGTGAAAAATGTAATTCAGGCAGCAATGTGTGGTAATTGCAATTTATTTTGGTAAATAAATACAAAACAGAGACATTTTAACATGAAAATAACATTATTTGGACAGTTATGTTGTTCTCTACCTCTTCAGTTGTTTAAAAAAAAAAAATCTGACTGAAAAGTTTTACTGTAACCTTCTGCTATAACAGGCATTGTTAGGACGCCTTGGCAGGGGTCCTTTGAAGGCCTGAAGTTACACACAAGCACAAGTGTGTAATTATAGCAGCTACTTTTGACAGTTTAACTTAAGAAAACAGATTGCCAAATTAACAGTTATGCTGCCATACAATGTGCTCATTATAAACATACACACAAATCCCAATAAGCACACACACACGCACACACACACACACACACACACACACACACACACACACACACACACACACACACACACACATGTACACTCACACCTAATAAAACCATAGCAATGTCTTCTTTATATAACCCATTGCGAACTCTCCTACTAGTATACTAACCCGCCTGCAGTGTCTTTTTGAACTGAGCAGAACCAAAGCAAGTTGTGAGCCAAACACACCGGCTGTATGCTGTTAGATTTCACACATTTCTCCACTGCGCTACATTCCTGCTTAAGACCAGGCTACTACTCATGTTCCTGCAAGACAGCCTCAGGTAGCTTCACATTGTTCACACGATTTAAACATAATGTAGTATATACTGCGTAAAGAAACCTATATACTGTACAAAACTATACAAAACTCAGAGGTCTTACCTCTGTGTTACACACTGGTCTGTGCCATTGGTTTTCTTAAGTCAGTGTGAGAAAAAGATGGTGGACTGAAACAGAAAAATCTGGAAATAATAGGACAGATGGATAAACAGTAGCATCAACAACTGATGCCATACTAGTCTTATAAAACGTTCATTTTGGAAAGCAAAGGCATACATGAACATTTAGATACAGTCATTTAAATAATAAAAGGAGGCATGAACGTGTTGAAGGGGTAAAGGAAAGAGAGAGACTTTTGTGCAAACATGAACAAAGAACTTCACACAGGAATAGGCAGTAAGTCAAATGATAAAACTTTCCAAATACTTCACAGCATGGACGTAAAATCTACAGACACTTATAAACACACACCTGAACAGTAAGTAGATAAAATATATTTGGAAAAGTTGATGGATGAAAATCTAGTTCAGTTCACTTCAGGGATGAATTAACTGATGCCCCAAAACAAATGTGGTATCACAAGCACAGCTCTAGAGTGTAGAAATCTCTTCTGTCACTTCACACGATATACAGCAAGAGATCAGACCCATATTCCCCAAAACAAATAAGATACAACACAGTTTACTGAACACTAAATTGGTTCAACTGTGCTATAATTTACAAAAGTGCTTTCCTCTTTGACAGCGTCTCTTTAGTTAGTTTTGAGGACAGACAAAAAAAATCTCTACCATAATACTTGACGGTGCCTGCATTTTGATTACATAAAGGTCTTTAATGTCGTTCATTTTCCCATTGTATTGTCCTGAGTGTTACAAAATGGTCTTCTGAGGACGATCCACCAGTGATTGGGATTTTCTTCGATCATTTAAAAAAAAAAACGCTCAGCTCCACCGAGGTTTTTGTTTTGATCAAGTGTTTTGTCAAGTCATCACCAGCCAACAGTCTTTAGAGTCACTGTTGGGTCTTTATGGAAAACAGGACAAGCAAATATTATTGCTTCAACAGCTCTGGCTTTGGCGAGTCTTTCATTGGTTCTTTTACACCTGAAAGAAAAAGGAGGCCATCTTGGAGGACAAACAGGACAAAAAGGACAGAAGGACATGTATCCATCTCCTATTGTGTCCTTAGCGGATGACAGGTTTCAGCCATGCTCGCCATGTGCACTTGTTGCTGTTCTGCCTCCTGTGATTGGACAGTTCGGGAGTGGACCGTCAGACCTGGGTGGACTTGACTCGTCGGAGAGGATGTCGTCCTTCGGGGTGGGCAGGGCAGGGTCGGGGGCATTCAGAGGGCAGGTCTAGACTGCGCTGGTGAGGCACCGCCGTGAGGGGAGGAGCACATCGGGAGGGGTGGGGGACGGGATTGGCTGATGGTCATGTGATCTCAGAATACGGTAGCCCTGGAGCCTAACAGGCAGGAAAGGTACAGAGAAAAGATTAGGAGAGGTAGAGAGGGAGGTAGCAGTAAAGAGTATAACACTTTTCAAAACAGTTGCAAAGTGAAAACTTGAGGGAATAGAGCAGATAAACTTTACTTGACTGAGGCAGCGAGAGACAAGAATGCAAAATGATGACGTCTAGACAAGAGATAGAGTATACACAACAGAGATATCAGTGTCTATGAAACATCCAGATACAATGAGACAACCAAGGTTATCAGTGAAGACAAAAAGGGGTAAAATATAGCACCATACACATTTAAAAACAAGACTAAGAGCCTACAACCTTGCTAGCAGCTCTGGGAGGCTGTGTTACTCAGGAACAGAGATGCTTTGATATGCTAACATCAGCATGCAGGTATAATATTTGCTCACTGTCTTAGTTTATTGTGTCAGCAAGTTAATATGTCCTAATTATCTCTAATACAGGTATTTGGGTCATATACCAAATTGAAATTTTGACCTGATGATGGCACTAGAAGTTTTAGGATCACCATAGTAAAGTAATTACAATTCAACCTGAAGGGGGATATGAGTATATGCATTAGTGGACCAAGGGGGTGGCAGGTGGGGCAACTGCTCAAAGAGATGCAACAGAAGTGCCCTCTTGGATGCCCCTGTGGTAGATGAAACATGTTAAAGTGCCCTCTAGGATGCCCTTCCAATGTGTGTGCCCCTAGTGTACCTTTCCAGTGGACAAAACATAGTAAAGTGCCCTCTAGCGTTCTAATTCTAACCCTGACTAATTTGTGTAACCATTAATGCTTCACAACTTTCTGCGTGCTGGGGTGCCCTTTTTTTTATATTTTTTGCCCGTGCCCCTCAAACAGCCTGAGACAACCCCTGAACTCCTGTACCAAATTTTATGACACAATTTTTCAATAGTACGTGAGATATTTCCACCGTGATGCTAGCATTGCCAATAAGTATTTGCCTCACCAAAAGACACCTTTCCGTCAAAAAAAAGGACACTTGCAGTCTATTGATTATCTCAACTATTTTGTAGTCTTGCATAATGATTTCCCCCATCCCTTACCTGGAGGCCACTTAACTTTTCGAGTGGACTTTCCACGCGGGGCAGGCTGAGAAGAGGCAGCCCCATGGGGGGTTCTTGACGCTGTGGGGGTGGAGGAGTCGGTATTGCAATCTGGGTTGGCTGGAAATTGTTGATCACACATGACACCTGATGGAGAGCAGAGCAATGAGGTAAAAGAAAAAGGAAGGGAGGGATCCACTCCGCTGCACCACAGAGATGGAAGATTTTCTGGTTCAAAAATGCTCCAAGTGTCCATGGGAACAGATAGGCTAAGACACTTACAGTATGAGAAGGAGAGAGACAGAGAGATAAAAGAAAGAGAGAGAATGAAATATGGAAGAGGCCCTGAAAGAAAGCTACAGTCTTTGGGATGAACCACAGGAAATACTTTGATCTCAAAGTTTACGCCGACCCTGGAGCTTTTTCCAGAAGACTGATTTAGGCCAAGAGGTCCAAGACCAGATGACATTATTTGACTGTGCTATGGTAAAGATTCAGATCAACCCATTCACATTTATAGGTGTACAAGTGTGTGTCTGTGCTCTATCACACAGGCTCTTTTACCTCAAGCTTGCAGCAAATCATCAGTCCATCCTCCCACCGTCTCTCCTGCACCCACACTAACATTCAATCCTCCCCCTCTCCTAAAACACAGTAACTACCTACATATTTGGTCAAAGTTGAGTTACGATCTGAAGTTGATTTTTACCATTTTAAAAATATGAAAAACTACAGTAACACCTAGAAATCTCTGAGCTCTGAAAGCCACACGGCATTACAGCTAGTGAAGTAAAGCTAGGCTATATATAAGTTAAAACTAGAGATAGCCACAATTAAACTTTTTTTTTAATAACTTCCCCCCAGCTTTTATCTGAAAAAAAGTCAAACATAATCAGTAATGTATTTAAATGTATTACATTGTAAATTAATGTACTGTTAGGCCTATTGATTTCAGTAGTATATGAACATACATAAAGTAAATACTTAATCCCTATTAACCATGGACTGTAAATAATAAAAATAAAGTTTATTTTCTTAAACAAACTAGTTAAAATGGACAAGAAAGTTTATGGAACACATTTATTTGAAGACACTGTATTCCCACGCTTTCCCTGAAGATCATAAGAAGGTGGTGCAGTATTTTAGCCTATTAGATTATTCTATGGCATTGATCAGGGTAACCCAAAATGATATATAATGAAGACATGATAAGCTTCCTATCAGTTACATAACTCTGTCAACCTCACTGCTTCTGTAATATCTGCTCTCTGCCTTTGCGAGGCATCCTTTCTTCTAGTCTTTTCCTCCTGTCATTCTACCCTCCTCCTCCATCTTTTCCTGATACCTGAAATTTCACCCATCTCTTCTTTCACCCTCCTTTCCATCCCCATATCTTGCCCCTTCCCTCCTTCTCACCAGGAAGGCAGCGATGGCTCCTCCGGTAACAAACCCAGCCAGTACATCGTTCCAGTGGTTTCTGTGTTCAGTCACCCTCAACACCCCCACCAGCACAGCCAGAGACAGCAGCACCAGGCACAGAGTGGGCTTAGTCAGACGGGTCCCTTTGGTCCTGAACACCAGGGTCACGTACATCTGGAAGACATATATATTTCAAATAAAATGTCATGTTATTTGTTCACAGTGAGCTGAACCTGGTGCTGAATCCACAGATCTTCAATCAGCCAGCTGAGATAATTCAAACAGTGCTTCAGCTAGAGTAGCTTAATGGGTTAAAACAGCTTGAATTAGCCACAAGAGGCCGCACTCTGCTGTGATTTTAGAGCATCTGAAGGGTTTAATGGGGTACAAAAAGAAAGCACCATGAAAACACTGCCATGATTGGTTGAATGCTTCTAAAAAATGACAGGAACATGACATTGTAATTAAAAAGAGAACAAACGCTCCATTAAAAGTATTTTTTTTAGCAGTGCTTGAATCATATGTAAATGTCTCTACTAATGCAATACTTTAGAGGTCCATAATGTACATGCACACATTATACCTAAGTACAGGAGGTCACTTGGTGATGACTATCACACATTTCACACACATTTTATTTTAAAAGTAACATATTAAAGCAGATTTCTATTTCAGTAAGTAAAGTCAAAATGTGGTTTATTCTCTAGAATGATTTAAAATGTTCAAATATTATTAATTTAAAAAATGTCAAGATATCCATTAATTTTGATGATATGAACTTAATGAATAACATTTATGTTTAGCTTTCTGTCATTGTTGGTATTTTAATGTATGTACATGCCTTAAAAGGTCATCAAAATGGGAAAAATAAAAATGGGAATATAACATTTACATTTACAGTTACAGTTAACACGTCACTTTCAGTATTGTATTGTTCTTCTCTAGATTAAATTGTAATTGCAGATTTTGTATTTGTAAGCTATTCAGCAGTATTACATAAAGTGACCAATCAGAAATAAGTCAGCTATGAAGAAAGTAGCGGTGGGTTGGGAGAAATCACTTAATAGTTTTCTTCTTTTTGAAGAATCTAGTTTCATTTCTGTCCTCTCTTCATTTTAGGATCCAATAATATTATGTATCTATAATATTGTTTGTTATAGACTTTGGTACCACTTGCTAATAAGGCAACTTTTATAAAGGACTGAGAAGTTGTAATTTATTACAATACATTAATTTATTAAGGGTAAATAAATAATTATTCAAAATAAGACACGCTTTTAGGCTGCCAGGTTGTGTGCTGTGCTGACAACCCAAAAGTTATTATTTATATCATCATAATTGATCTATACAGCATTAGTAGATGGTTTACTAACTATTATTAAACATTTTAGTTAACACTTTATACAGGGTTCCTTACTATGAAGTATTGCCAAAACTGATTTTTCTTCTTCTTTTTACTTGACACATCATCATCAAATCCCACAGTTACCCTTGTGTGTCTTCCTTCACCCCATTGTCCCCAGAAAGTTCCCTACCACTGTGTAGATGGCTGAATAAAAGCTGAGTGCTGCGTCTTTGGAGGGGAAAGATTTGCGGGCGGACACCACTAGGTATGGGTTTCCTGTGCAGGCTCGACGCTCTGTGATGTACTGCAGCGGAGACTGGCAGCCCAGAGCTGTGTAGTTTGGCTTGCATGCAGACAGGAAATGAGGCGTCTGATTTCCTGTCACAACTTGACCTGCATTGGCAAAAATGGTGGTGGTGAAGAGGCCGAAGGAGTAGACACCTGTGTAAAAAAAAGAAGAGAGACAAACTGAGAGAGAGAGAGGTGTATGTAAACTCAAAATAAGTAAATCAATGAGACTTGTAAAAGTCAGAAACAGGCACTTGAATGGGAATTAAATGGTTACGCTGACTGCTATCTGTGTGGGAGTGAAAGGCCAGAGGGACATAGCCTTTGCTTTTATGCTTCAGATCTACAGTCCATCACTTTAAAAGTCTCATAACTTAGATAAATACAGAGATGATGAAAAAGATCACAGAGCATCAACAGAACAGAACATGGAGAGAAGGCCAAGCAAAATGAGTACACAGGAGACCTAAACTAAGGATGAGGGCTCTTTCTGGCCTTATGACAGAGGAGTACTGGTGTAAGTCTTAAAGAGCCTTGGTCCCTGAGTACAGAGGCTCTATTTAGTCAAAGCCAAAGAACCCCTGATCTTTAGGATAACTGACCCAGAAAACGTACGATCCTCCGGAGGAGAGGGTTGAAATAACAGCAATCAGCGGTCACTATGGTCTTCTCCTGAGCACCCTCTGTCTTCACGAAGAAGCTGGTCACTTCCCCGATCAGAATCTGGGACACAGAGTGAGACAGGGAGAAACCACAAAACATATTAGTCAAACAGAAAGCTAAAACTGTGTGGTTAAGGATTGATCATCTTCACTGAATATTCTGTCAGTTAAATATGGTGTGCAGCAAAATTATTCATGAGTGTCCCTCGGCCTTGCAAAGATTACATTTTTCCTTGGCCAGCCTGCTTTATATTTCTCTCACCATTTGGCTGATTTTATGCTGCTTTCCTAAATCCCAACATTAACACCTCCCATTCACTCACTCTCATCAGTGGGAGTTTGTCAACCTCAGTGTCTCATAGATCTTCTATCTTTCTATTTCTCTTCTTTTCTGCAGCTCCATAAAACTATGACTATACTTTATAATGTCATGCATGTTAAACACCTCAAAAGTAAGGATTTGGTTTGCCAGATAACATAAATCAAACACATCTTTACTATTTCCATGAAATATTTGAAATGCATTAGCTAATGTTTTACCCCCACCCTGATCACACCTCAATAAAACCTCCATTATATTTTTACTATTATAGCCTTAACACATTTTAAACACGCATTTAAAGAGCCCACACCCCAAGCCTCTGGCAGCCGTTTGAGATGTAGTTTTAAGAGTTTAAAAACTAAGACATATCAGTAGGACATTGATTTCCTTTGACATTAGAATGAATTGACTAAACACCATGTAGCACATTCCTGGACATCATTACACCCGACAGTGATCCTGTCTGATCGGGGGACCCCTGCTGACAGAAGCATGGATAGATGTAGGTTACATGCTCATACAATATTCATGGCCCAGAGCCAGGAGCGTGGGACGAAGCTAATGCACCAAAGCTCAGTGTGCTCAGTGTGACAGATGAAGACTGAGGTTTACACTAGCACTGATGTTATGGACTAAAAACCAAGAGCAGGAAAAATATGTTGCACACTCTAGCTCCTATCTCTCTCGCCAATGTAATACAATGTTGGAATCGTGGGGCTTGTGTGTCAACATAAATTATGTCTTTGGAGGATGTCGTGACCTGAGTGCTGCAAAGCTATGCAGCTCTGAAGTCATGTTTTGTGGGGGGGAAAGAGGTTCTGGGCTCCTTAAGATGTAATTTAAAGATATGATGGCTCTGTGATTGTCACCTTTGAGCTTTTGCATAAATTCACAGTAACACAAAGTTCTTGCACTCCAGAAAATCTGACAGGTTTGTTGAATCATTTACTTTTACTCTGTGCATCAATTTACAGCGAATAATAGTTGATTCAGCAGACATATATTGACAGCATACTTCAAACTAAATTTTGATGGGTTTGTAAAGGCTGTTTCCAAACCTGATTCCAAAAACTGTGCTACAATAATGCTAGTATACTTAGGCCGCAATAAGGAACTTGTTGTTGATACTGGCCGTTCTGTGGTAGTGTTTCCGCTGCCTCTTCATTTGATTTCAATAGGAATCTGACCGAATCAGAGCCTGTGGCAAGCATTAAGAATAACTACATAGAAACAGCCAATTATTTCGCTGATGGTCTCCTGTGCTTATGTAGGTCATATGGAGGCATCAGTTTTAAATTGAGACTGTTTCATAACCAGTTCAAAACCCCCTGTAGTAGGATTAATTCCCTTGCTAATGGAAGAGCAGCATCATGATGGAAAAACTGCAGCCTGTGGCGAACATGACAGAAGCAACCAACAATATTACATTGTTGACCGTTTGAAGGGGATGGTGCATTGGTGGCCAGCAACAGGCCAGTCCACACAAACAGCAGAGAGAGCAGGGCAAGGCAGGGCATAGATTTTTGTTGCAACCTTTCCATTGTAACAGCTGTGTGAACAAGCCTAATTTGATTCTGCAGGGGTATACGGCTTGGTAGTGGGCTTTATAAGTAAAGAACAAGAGACAATGTGTAACATTTGAACCTGTTTAAACAAGTGTCAAGATGTCATTGAGCAAGTCTCCTATAAGGTCAACTACTGGATAGCTTTGAGGTGAATGTGTAGCAAAATACAAATGAATCAAGGTAACACTGTGAAAATGTAGCAACCCTCAAAGAAAAGAGAAGAAAGAACTTTTTCTTTTACGAAAAATTTAAATGTTCAAAGTCTTAATGTGCATGATCACACGTTAGCCTCACGTTCTTCAAAAAATAAAAAATGTCATGAACATAAGAATCAGCTTATCTTGGGCCTGCTTGAATATTCTTCACACCGAGCAAAAAAAAGTTTGACTCCTTTCTAGTAATTTCTGCAGGGAGGTTTGTGTGTTGGGACAGCCATAAATCATTATCTCTGGAGCTGGTGGAGGTTTGTTAGCTTGCTGCAGGCACTTTGGTAGAGCTGGTGGGAACCAAAGATTAGACAGCTGGATTATATATAGCACATTTTTACCTCCAGGGTGCTCCAAAATCAAATCACCCACTTCCCACCAACAGTACAACTGAAAAGCCTTAAAAATAACTAGACGAATGGTTATCGGTTTAAATATTAAAGTTAAATCAGTGTTAAATATAACCTATTGATTGTTAGGGTATGACGTTGTTTGTTGACATTGATGCTAAACAAAAAAAAAAGAAATTCTTAATCTATTACACCTTTCATACAATAATAATAATAACATACAATAATAACAACAATAGAGCAGCTGACAGCCGTTCAACAGCTCTAAAATGCATGAGACCCAACTTATTGTTTGGAACCTGAATGTCACATCCACGTCCTGCACTCAGGCTCAGTCAGCATCACTTTTATAAGCCTTTTCTTGGGTCAGCCTTCTTTTTTTCCCCAACTTCTATTGGGCGGGAGCTCATAGTGTTCAGCCATTCAAGAATAAGCATTACAGATTTCACCATGTTGGTTTCAGGAAGAAATTTGTGTTCATTCACGTTTCCTGCAGAGAGTGAGGTGACACCTATCATTCCCACAGTGCAAGCGTTCTGTTATGTTACAGAGACAGAGATTCTAACTTAGTACATGAAGGCCTATATGATTTTCAATTTAAGTGTACACTGATCAGCCATAACATCATAAGCACTGACAGATGAAATGAATAAGACTGATAATCTTGTTATCATGGCACCTGTCAGTGGGTGGGGTATATTAGGCAGCAAGTGAACCTTTTGTCCTCAAAGTTGATGTGTTAGAAGCAGGAAAAATGGGCAACATGAGGATTTGAGCGACTTTGACACAGGCCAAATTGGGATGGCTAGACGACTGGGTCAGAGCATCTCCAAAACTGCAGCTCTTGTGGGGTGTTCCCGATCTGCAGTGGTCAGTACCTATCTAAAGTGTTCCAAGGAAGGAAAAGCGTTGAACCAGAGACAGGGTCATGGGTGGCCAAGGCTCATTGATGCACATGAGGGGTGAAGGCTGGCCCGTGTGGTCTGAACCAACAGACGAGCTACTGTAGCTCAAACTGCTGAAAATGTTCATGCTGGTTCTGATAGAAAGGGGTCAGAAAACACAGTGCATCACAGTTTGTTGCGTATGGGGCTGCATAACATTATGATCACCAGGGTGCCCATGTGGTCATAATGTATGGCTGATCAGTGTATGGAAATGCTCAAACCTGTCTGTGGTAATGCTTTAGAAGTATGGGCACAATCCATTGCGAAAGCACTACAAAGGTAGGTTTTGAAACACAGTCCTCCTTTTCAGAGAAGCCTGGCAGAGCTTTTGGCCATAGGAAATCAGTCTTCCCTCAGTTCTTTGAACTGGATTTAGGTGTGGTATAAAATTGAATCAGAGCTTCTGTGAATTGTGCCAGAACATATGCAGTGGGGTGATTATACACCATGGGAACAAGAGCATGACAACATCCAAACACCATGAAGAAAGTGTTTCTACAACAGAAAATTATGTAGACTAACTTTAGCATAAGATTGATGTGTGCTCTCATCTTGGCTCATGTTAAAACTCTGGTAACAGTATTCTGAATAAACTTTTATTGTCTTAATGTATTTCTGGGAGATGCTCTTGTGAAGTGAGTGTGAGGGAGTAAAAGAGGATGAAGAGAATTGGAGACAGCCACTGATGATAGTCAGCTAGCAGTCAAAGGGGCAGAAAGCATAAGAGACTTGTAAATGGTATTGTTGGCGATTAATCACTGCGAAACCGAGATTACAGATTAAAGAAAAGAAATTGATTGCAACATAATTAAAACTATCAAAGGCTAATTCTGAACTTGACAAATTGGCTTCAACAGCTGTCCATGCAGTGTGGCCAAAACAAGGTTTGTTTTTATAGCAACCTGAGGGAGTTTGCCAATTTAAGTTGTGTGCATTACAGGAAGAGGAAGATGTATATAATAACTGAAAAAGGAAGACATCTCTGCAGGGCAGCAGGATGTGAAACCAACACAGCTGCTGCAGCCACAGAATAATAAACACACACAAGTACTAACTAGCTGCAGCCCTTTCACATACAGTGAACAAAAACATAAAATTAGTGATGTTGAAAACTGAAAAAAAGAAAGGAAACAAATAGTAATATCTAAATCTGCGGCTAAATCTATTCTAAAGTTCATCAACTAAACAGCTTCATTCTGATTTATGTGAAAGAACCAACAAAACTTCCTCTAATCTGCCAACACCTGCTTCATTCTACTAATTTCTTCAAAAAATTAGGTAACAGGTTTCTTTCTGAAATAATTGTAATTGAAATAAACTGTGATTGAAAGCTTATTCATATTTTACTGATAATTCTGATTTGTATTTAAATTATTACCACTCACCAATCAATGTTTATATGGTAATTCAACACACTTCTTCTTCTTCTCATACAGAGGTAGAAACAATCTGACAACATTAACTGTTTGGAAAAGGGGTTGATGACTCAATTCATCTCTATACATTGCTTTCGACTAGATTCTCAAGTTGCAATAACAAATGTACAAGAACGAGCTTTCTTCCATTCTTTTCACATCGTATTTTCAACAGCATGGAGTCTGAGTTCCTTGAGGATTCCTTACAGGCAACATCAAACCAAAGTAATCAAATTCAGAGAGACTGAAGGGCATG